CATTTAGAGTGCCGTAAAAACAGAATGACAAACTCTGCTCTGGGAATGGAGATTGGTACAAGTTTTCTGAAGGGTGATATAGAAAAATATTTGAAGAACCTAAAAAATGCTTATCTACAAATTGTCCTTCTAGAAATTTTATTCAAATAAAATAAGAGTCACTAAATACCTATTTTAAATTATTTTATTGTGAGTAATTAACACAACCCAAATGCTCCAAATGGGAATTAGATAAATATTAAATTGAATCATCTGAAATTACAATTCACAAGTGTTGACCTATGGAAACAGGTTTTTGTGTGGTTTAACCTAATACAAGTGGGATGTAATCATGACAGACTTCTATGCATGTGTGGAAAATAATATTTTAAAGAATATCTAATGCTCATAAATAAAATGCTGTATAATAAAATAAGATAAAAACTATATAACATGAGATTTCCATTTTATTTTATTAAAATACACCTTGTGAATATATGTAAAAATATGATCATAAAAATGACTAGAAGCAAACATTCATGTTAATAGTTCATTGAGTGATTGGGTTATTGGTTTTTTATTTTATTTTTGTTTTTATACTTCTGTGTCTTCCCCAAAATTTGTGTGGTTATAATAACTAGTGTTTTGCATTTCCTAAAGTCTTGTAGTAAGCATATTCCTTGTTGTTGTTGTATACTCTTCAGAATCATTTTAATGGATTCATAATATCTTCATTAGAATTTAATCAATTATTTAAACATTCCTCAATGGTAGGTTTTTAGGCTGACCCTTCCTTCCTTCCTTCCTTCCTTCCTTCCTTCCTTCCTTCCTTCCTTCCTTCCTTCCTTCCTTCCTTCCTTCCTTCCTTTTCTCCCTCCCTCCCTCCCTCCCTGTTTTCTTCCTTCCACTGTATATAAAAAAATGCAAGATTCCCCTTCCAATATTTTGGATTATTTCCATAAAAAATATTCCTAGAAGTAAAGTCTGTTAGGCATGGGAAGGGGTGGGGAGAAAATTAACTGGAAGCTGAATGTTGTCCATGTACTTCTGGAGAACCTCAACCCTGCATCCTGTCAGCCTTTTGAGACACTGGAAAGACACTGTTCTAATACCTTTTCTTGTTATGAATGGAAACATTATTTCCCACCATTCTGATTCCAAGGTACCAGCACTTTAAAAGCTTAGCTCAGGTAAGATAGCTTAGCATTTGCATCCTGCTAAACCTAGGAGAAAAACTCAATGAATCAGATAAAGACATCAATCTACTGGCACATGTAACTTTCTTATTTTCACTGTTCATCTTTGTTCAGATGACATTTATATACCTTGGCTGCCCAGTGCTTGCTTGACATAAACCCACCTGAAGCATGTACTGAGGGTTTTGGAGGAAGACCACATAAGTGCAGGACTTCACAGAGCCCTTTCATGTGTGAGGAAGTTCTGCCTGCATGGTGGTGAGGCTGCCCATGATGCAAGAGGCTTCATGTTCTCCACCCACTAGTAACACATAGGCTGGAGGAATACTGTATCTTCCTTTAAAAAACTTCGATGCTTGGACACATGACTTTAAACTGGTCTCCCATCCTGTTTTTGTATGAACACAGAAGAGTATAAGTGGCCAGAAGACACAGAAGGGCAGCGTCCTATAGAAGGTACACCATCTCCGCCCCTCATACCTGGGTACCTTCATGTGAATGGGTGTCTGCTGAGGACCTGGCCCAACTGGGAAACTTAGGGGTGTGGCAGCTTTCTTAGGGGCAAAGGCCGGGAGGAAGAAGCTACTGTCTGCTGGTTCATTCAGAAGCGTTTATTGAGCTACTGCTATGTAACAGATGATGTGCTGGGCCTGAAAATGGCACCTGAGTAAAGCATGCTTCCTGCTTTCCAGGAGATCACATATATGATGAGGTAAGCAAGTGAATGAATCATTTAGAGGCCAAGAGAGATGGTGACACAAGAGAAAGAAAGAGTGGGTTGTGAGGAACACTGAGGAGAAGTGTCAGGACTGGAAACACTTTTCAAAGCGGTGATGTTTGGGTTGGGTGTTAAAGAATGGGTGGCGTGCTTTCGTCAGGTGGATGAAGGAAGGAAAGAACATGCCTTTGATAGGGGAGCAGCCAAAACTGCACGCTTGGGGGCTGGGAGGCTTCTCTCTGAGTGCTGGGCAAACACTTTTGCTGACACACTGACTGTGTCCGAGGCCTTTGCAACTGCTGGCAGTGGGCTGTGGCTGACTCGTTCACATCCTGTGACAATAGAATAAGGGGCTACTTCCAAGAGATAAATAGTAAATGCCAGAGCCCAGTGGCCAGCTGCATGCCTCTTCCTTCATCCAGATCTTTTCACTCTTTTTGAAGTTTTTAAGTGACAATGTGATAAGCTATTTCTAATTAACAAAATGACTCATGCTTATTATTAAGATTTCAAACAATAAATGAACATATAAGGAACAAAGAAAGTATCTCTCTAAATTCTTCAACCTAGAGATCACCAGTGTTAATGTTTTGAAAACATCCTTCAATATGTCCTTCCATATGACCAGGGCCTTAGAACAAGCTGGTTTCTCTGCCTGGATTGCTACCCTGTTTCCCACACTAGGGACAGCTTTCCATGTCAACAGATCTAATTCAACAGTATATGTAATGGAAGTATCTTTTCTCCTGTTTGAATAAATCACTGATACGTTATTATTTTTAATCCATGACTTACTAAGATTTATAGGTAGTGAAAATTTTTTTCTGCTATAAACAATTCTGTGAAAAGCATCCTTTTAGATATAGGGGAGGGCAAAAGTAGGTTTACAAATAATATGGAAAAAGACATACAAGTTATGATGATCACAATAGCTGTATTAATGGAAAAGAATGTCACAGTGGCACAGTGCCCTTAACTATAATTTGGCAAGTGCTTAAATTGTTGGCCTTCAGTTTTTACCCATTCTGGTAGTCTACTTACTATACTCAAGCACACTTGGGCACAGAGTTCTCACTTATTTTTGGTCGCCCCTGTACATCTTCAACATTTATCTTAGGATAAATTCCTAAAAGTGGAATTAGTAGATCAAATGATATGCACATTTAATTTTTGATACATGTTAACAAACACACACTACCCTTTTGAAAGTTTTTCTCAATAGTATGTAAAGTACCATTTTCACATATTCTACCAACATTTGGCAGCCTGTTTGTAAGAAAACCTTTGGCCACCTGATGAAATTTTATTGTTTTCATTTATTTTTACTTGTTGTTCTATCATTTTTCATCCACTCATTCTTTGTATGTCTTCTTTTGTGAATATTCTATTCATATTCCTTTTTCATTAAAATACTATTTTTTCACATTAATAATTTATAAGTGTTCTTGTTATATGAAGGGAATTAACATTTGCTGTATCTACTGCAAATATTTTTCTCATGTATTATTTGACATTTTATTTTTATTTTATATTATGATTATTTTTTTCAACTGCGCTGGCATCCTGGTATAGTTCACAACGGAGCTGGCAGGAACCAGGCCCAGAATTTCAACCAGCTGTGGCTGCTCATCCCCCAGCAGTGGAACACTCACCCAGGTGCAAGGCAACCCAGGCAGCTGCCTACCGCTGGGTGACATTTTATTTTTTATGTCTTTTTTTGCCATATACATTTTAAAACAAATAAAATAAGATAGTCACATCTAATCACCTTTTCTTTTGTGGTTTTGTATTTTTATGTCATTCTTTTCATCTACTTCCAACCATGTAGTCTCATTGCTTGTGCCTGACTGAATTTGAGGCTTGAAAGCCAGATGGCTAAGGATTCATTCTAATAAGACAGAGACTGTCTTGGTAAAAATTGGGAAACATGTAAAAAATATGTCCGAGATCATCTCTGTCTGCTCATTCAAAGACATGACTTTGCCCCTTTCCCCATGGTTTGTGGGGTCCCCATGCTGTGGTTTCAAGATAGTCTGAGGGCAGGATTATGCAGATGGTCTGTCAACACATAGAAAATGGGGAAAACCATCTCTTTTTTCAAAAGAGGATCTTCTGCCAGTCCCATTGTGGACAGGGCAGTACTAAGGATTGAACTGAGCCTGAGTAACAGGGAGGACTGAGACAAAGTGATGTAGAAGATAAAACCCATTCTGAAGGGCAAATGTGAGCTAGCTACCATTTAAATGTCTATTCTGTGTCCTCCAACATCTTACATGGTAGATAATCCAGTCCCCAGTTTACATATCTTAAAAACCAACCAGCAAACAAGCCTTACAGAGGTGAAAGAACTGGACTAAGGTCATGTAGCTACTAAGAAAAAGAAATGAAATTTGGATTCTCATCTGAGCTGAGTCCAAAGCTAAGAACAGCAACAAAAAGTTCAGTATCATTGAGAATTCATCTTGACAGGCCTTGTGCTAAGTGCTTTACATATATTAGCTCTTTTAATATGATAGTAACCATTTGAGGTAAGCATTTCTTTTTTAAAGATGAGACTGTTAAAGCCCAGAGCAGCATACCCAAAGTCACATAACCAGTAAGTTGCAGAATCAGGAACTGAAAAAAAAAAAACATTCTGAGTTTTGACACCTGTCTTCATCCAGATCTTTCTTTTTAAATTTAATACTTAAAAAACAATCACTTTATTATTTATAATTATTAAATGCTCATGTTTCTTAACATTTCAAATACATGAAACAAATAATTATCTCTATCAGTCATGCTGCTTTCTGCCAATGCGTGTTCTGAAGTACCACTCACCCCTGGGAGAATTTAGCACCCTATTCCCACTCTCCATGCTTTGAAGGTCATACCCCTGTGTGTTATCTTCAGGAAAATATATTTTTGGGGTAACTACTAACTGGGAAAAGGAATAATTCATGTAATTACCAGGCAATCTTGGTGTTGTCAGGCATGACCAAACTACCTGGAAAAGTTAATAAGTGAGTAATTGTTTAATTACTTAACTACTAATGATTTTCCAGGAATCAAACCACTTGGTTTTGCACCCGAACATTTTCTATTAAGTTGATTGGAAATAACCTGTGAGACAGCAGAGTTCTGAGCTCCAGAGGTCATTGCATTGGAGTCACCACTATTGATTCTACCATATAGCTCCACTAAAACATCGATTAAGGTATTGATCAGTTATTTTAATGCATCCTCTCTTTTAGTAGGCATGAGTAACACATTGGGTGTTCAGAAAAACCTGTGCTTTCCAAATCTTGCTTCCCAACCTGGAACCTTTTTCTGTGATGAGCTTATCTTTTCTTTTGATTGGTGACCTTACTACAAAGTGTTTTCTCAAAGGTTGGTCAAATCTTAAATTGGAGTATATAAATAATGAATGCCAGATTTCAGGAAATCATTTGATGCATACAGATCATTTGTATTTGGGCATTTCCCCCACCCCATTTTCCCAAAACACGCACCCTGTTATGTACAATATAATAGACCTTACAACTTCTTCTTCCCCTCAACTAATTAATTTTGGGATATTCAGCAAAGATTAGGACATGAATAATTCAATGAGAGTTATTAGAGAGAAATAAAAGTGAAAAAAAAAAACCCCATTTACTCCAGGATACAAAGAGAATGTTTCTTATTCTTAGACTTGGGCCTTATAGCCAGGGTCAGAATCAATGGTATAGCTGGTTAAAAGACAGCTTCCTGGGTCCAAACCCTATAGATTCTGATTTGGTGGTTCTGGGATGAGCCCTGAGAATTTGCATTTCTCACAAGTTCCCATGATTATGGTGATTTTCAAACATGGTCACAAATTCTTCAACACTCCTCCTTTTCTTTGAGCTATCTTACACCTCCACTTTTCCGTCATCTCCGTACTCACTTACCCAACAATAGCTGTAGATTTTACCCTTTAAATATTTCTCACACCTTGTGTTGACTTCCTGTAGTGACTATGACTGGCCAAATCCTACCCTCTTCAGCACTCACCTAGACTATTGTAATCATCCTTTTATTCTTTCTCAGCCCACTAATACTATCCCTGCCTTAAATCCATTTACCATTTTGTAGACAGTGTTATTATCTAATACTAAAATCAATTCCTTCTTGTATTTCTTTCCTGTAAAGTTGTCATTCATCTTTTAAAACAAACTTCAGAAAGTATCTCCTCAAGGCAGTCTTCCTTGAAACCCTTGCAGGGCTATATAGTGCTCCTCTGTCTCATATATCCCCCTGTGGAAACCTTTAGCATAGTGTATTTTCCACTTATTGAAACTGTGTAGTGTCTTCTTCCATTAGAATATAAGCCCCTTGTGGCAGAAAACATAGCTTACTCATTTTCCTACCCCAGCCACCTAAAATAGGAACATGACAGTTGTTTAATAAACGTCGGTAACATTGGTTAGGTGGACTGAATTGTGTACCCTCCTCCCCCCAATTGTGTTGAAGTCACAATTCCCAATACCTCAGAATGTGATTATTTTTGGAGAGAGGGTCTTTAATGAGGTAATTAAGTGAAATTGAGGCCATAGGTGTGGTCCCTAATCTAATATGACTGGTGTCCTTATAGGATGAGGAGATTAAAAACAGATACAAAGAGGGAAGACATCTGTAAACTAAAGATATAAATATCAACCCTGCCAATTCCTTGATGTTAGACTTCTAGCCTCTCAGAATGTAAGAAAATAAATTTCTGTTGTTTAAGGCACCTGATTTGTGGTCCTCTGTTAGGGCAGCCCTAGGGAAGAAACACAAGCATCTTATTAGGTATTAGGTGTTATTCCAGGCCTCAGGGAGATTTAGATCAATCCCACACATAGGGTCCCTGCCCTCATGAGGCTTGCAGTCTGCTGAGTGAATCTTAGATGTGAATGACTCTTCAATTCAACACAATAAATGGGCTCTGCATGCACAGCATGGGTGCACACAAGAATGAAACATAAATGCCTTGGCAATGGTTCACATGCATAGTAGAATGAAGAGGCAATTCAAGACCAACTTAGATTGGGGACAAAAATGTTCTCAGGAATGATGAAATGGGGAGGGGTTGTTTAGGGCAAAGTATATGGAGAGATTGTTCATTCAAAGACTCCAAAGATGCAGAACTTCAGATTGGCAGACTTATACTCTGGGAAAAGAACAGCAGGACCAGATATCCAAAGCAGTTAGCTTGATACTTTCAGGCAGTGGAGTGGGGACCATAGCAAAATCATGTCAGAGAATAATGAGAATTATTGCCATTATGCATGTGTATTTTTCTATGTACCAAGTACTGTGCAAAATGCTTTGTAAACATTGCCTCATTTACTCTTTGAGGCAAAGCTACAGTAGATATTATTTCTTTTTACAAACTAAAGCCCAAGACTCAAAGCAATAAGTAATTGTGTACAGCTATTACAGTTCATTTGTTAAAAGAGTAAGTGAAAGAAGAGATAATACCCACGCAATACTTAGTAAGGAAACAACATGGGGTCTTTTTGTAGAGGAAATGTTGAGAATAATTGAAAGCTTGATTTGGTGGCCATTTTTAAGGTGATATAAATCAGTGGTTCTCAAATCTAGCTCCACATTGGAATCATCTGGAGAGTTTTGAAAAATCTTAATGTCCAGGTGTACCAAAATACCTAAGATCTTTACCAGAAATTTCTATTTTCTTAAATCCTTCCTCCAAGTTTCCTCTCCCATACCCACATACCTCAAACCCCAGTTCCCTTTAACTCTTCTATATCCACTACAGTTATTATTTTATTTTGCCTATTTCCTCTATCAGACTATTTAAAAAATGTGATACCCAATATGAACTTTCCTCTTGTAGTAAATCTACCAATACTGAGTATTGCCCATCTCTTCATTAGTACTTTCAGATTTAGAAAAAGAAAGCTATAGACCCTCTTTATAATTTTTCCCAGTATCTGTCTGTCTGTCTGTGTATCTATCTATCTATCTATCTATCTATCTATCTATCTATCTATCTATCATCTATCTATCTATCTATCTATCTCTATCTATTTATTCATTTATTCATCTGTATATCCATCCATCCATCCATCCACCCACCCATCTTTGGCACTTGTAGGGCTGGGTAGCTAGCTCTGGTATATGAGTATATTGTGAGTTGATCCTTTCTTCTTAATTTACTGATGTCTCTGCATAGTTATTTCATCTCATGTATCTCATGTTAACTTCTTTTTGTTTGCCTATTTTTTCTTCTTTTACCTACAGAGTCCTCCAAATGTTAAGGTTGGTGTTTACCCTGAACACCAACTAGCACAAAGCAGCTTCACAGGTAGTAGTGACTATTTTTTCCAAGAAAGATGTCAAACAGCTCTTTCTAAAAGAGAGAGGTTAAGGGCCTGCATAACTCAGCTGAGCATATTAGCTCTTGCTTCAGTGTGAATTTTAAATTAAAATGGAAAACACAGCTGGCAGGGTGAGAGCTGCGTGTTTTCTTCTGCCCACTGAGGTTGGGTCTAGGGCATGGATACAGGATAGGCTTAGAGAGCCTTTTGATCTGGGTTGCAGCACAGTGATTCTGTCTGGATGATTCATCTTCTCTCCATTTCTATTTTCCTCCAGGCAACATAATCAATCCTCTTAAACAGTGGTTCTCAGATTCATTACCTCAGGAGTTCATAAGGCTCAAAACATAAATAGGGTCAAGAAAAGTTTAGATAAATTAATGAGAGGCAAGCTCATTGATTTGTGTTTTTGAAGGGAAAAGAACTGAAGGATGTGAGTATCCCTATCTCTGAGATCATCACCTAAACTACTGCTCTTTTAACAAATGTCTGCTCGATCCTATTCTCAGAGATGGCCAAACCGTATTTCTTACGTGTTCTGGGAGGACAGATGCACAGTGAGCTGCCTGATTCTACATATATCTGGAACAATGTCAGTCTGAGACACTCACGTATGAGTACATGATGCTGCCTGTCTGTGATCACAAATTCCTAACAAGAAATGGAACTTTCAGAAAATCTTGGATGTGTGTCCTATGCTAATAGCCCTTAATTTTTCATTGTTTTAATTTTTTTTGGCTTAAGACAACAGAAATGTATTCCCTCACAGTCTTGCAGGCCGGAAGTGTGAACAGTCTCCCCGGGTGGGGCCACACTCCCTCAGGAGGCTCTGGGGCAGCATCTGTGCTGTGTCCCTTTGCACTTCGGGGAGCTGCTAGCATTCCTCAGCCACCTCACTCCAATCCCTGCTCCTGTCTCTGCAAGGCTTCCTACTCCTTTTGTCTAATTTCCCTCTGCCTCTCTCTTATAAACATTTGTGATGGCATTTAGGATCCACTCAGATAATTTAGAATAATATTCTCATCTCCAGACCCTTAACTTAATCACACCTGCAGAAACTTTGTTACCTAAGGTAACATTCACAGGTTCCAGGAATAAGGACCAGGGATTGGGCTATTTTATCCCAGGTATTAGGATAGAAACATATTTCTCTCATAACGAAAATCTGGAGATAGGCAGACGAGGACTGGTAATAAAGTTGTGTAGTGTCAGTGGTGCGATTGCTCCTATGTAATTGGCCAAATACATTGTAAGGAAATATTAAATCAGAGTTGTACCAATGCCTAATCAACTGCTGAGCAAGCAACCTATGCTCGATTCTATTAAAACCAATAGGAAAACCACTCAGGAAAACCTAGGAGAATATTCTGAAGGAGATGCCCAAATTTCTGTCCCTACAACACCCACCAAAGAATTCTTTCTTTAAGAAGAGTGGAAACAGTTTTCCATCAAATCCTTCAATACTGCCTTTCTGGTAAACTGGAGAGGACGACAACTCAGAATTTCTTTTAAAAAGTGTTGACTTTAGGCTTCATTATTTTACTTTTCAGAAATGTTCCCGACATTGCAAATAACTTATGCCGAGTGAAGTATGACAGGTCAATTAGCTGCCAAATCAAGAATGAGAAAACTGGGGGGACGTTTGCACTGGAAAATTCCACTTACCTGAGCAGCCAGAGCCCAGGGGAAGCTGACTTGTAGGAGAGGATAAATGCAGTGTTTTTCTGGTGCCTTCAATAATGGGGCAACAGAAAGAACAAACTAAAGAAACTCAACCCAAACCAGATAATAACAACTTCCTGTTGCTTTAAAAAAATAACTACAACAAACTATGGGACACTCCAGCAGTAACAATAAACAAAAGAGAAGAAATACGCCTTTGACTCTTGGGATACCAAATGGCAATAATCACTTGCCAAGGATAATTGTATGACCGCTGACCACAAACCATTTCCTTGGCCACCCAACAATGAGAATTGAAGAATATAAGGGGACCAGGGATTCTTCTTGTGTGAAAGGTGGGGTTGCAACACTCAGATGCTAATGAGGCCTGAGCTGCATCGCTAAGCTGAAAAGCATGATTTCCTTTTCTTAGGAACTGAATTGTCAAATGGCTGGAGGGGCACAGGACACATTTTTTTTTTAAGGAGGGAGCACTCATAATCCTGGATTTAGTTAAGCGGAGACCAGTTCTTAATATTCTCTGAAATTAGAAAAACAAAACACTAGTTCTTTAAGGAAATCAACTCAAAACCAGGAGTGGCAAATATCATTAGAATATCCAATTTATTGGTCACAACTGCTAATATGGTTGAACAGATGTAGGTAGACTGCAGAATTACACATTTCCTCTAAGTTTCATGGCCTGGTTCGCTGTTTTATTTGAGTGCGTCAGGGTGCTGTGCGACTTTCCTCATCCCAGGCCCTCCCAGAGCAGGGCTGTGACCCCCTAGCAGGCAAGGCCTGTTGCAGCATTAAAACGAGTTCCTGGCTGTTCTTGCTGCCAAACATGAGATGATTTTTCCACTGATGTGGGATAAGCAATGATAAAAACTGCCCAGTCTGAGCCTTTTATTGTAAATAAAAAGTGAAAACTGCTTCATCATGAGATAACACAGCATCTTAACAGTGGAACCAGACAATTTTTATAAGAAAGACCCTATAACATAATGGAAAAGAGAAAATTTGATGACACTGCTTGTTATTATGGTCTAGAAGGAGTAGTAAATAGGCTGAAAGATATTAAATGTAAAGTTTAGCATAATCTTTTGGATTATGCTTACTTTTAAGCCTTTTTTTCCTCTGAGTTTTTAAGCCCATAATATTAATTTAAACTCTAGACATTGTAGCAAAATTTTATGAAGCCCAGCTTTGATAAAAGTCCCCATTTATTCTTTTTATCTTTTTTATTTTAAAATTATTTTATTTTATTTATTTATCTTTAGAAGGGAAGGGAAGGAGAGAAGGAGAGAAATATCAATGTATGGTTGCTTCCGGTGCATCCCCTGCTGGGAACTGGCCCCTACTGGGAACTGGCCTGCAACCCAGGCATGTGCCCTGATGAGGAATCAAACTGTGATCTTTTGGTTTGCAGGCCTATGCTCAATCCACTGACCTACACCAGCCAGGGCTCCCATTTATTCTTACATGTGCTAGGAAGGGATGGAGTGAAGGATGGAAGTTGCTCACGGTTAGATCCCAAGTTCAGCAAGACATTTACTTGAAGTCAATTGAAGTTGGACAACCTTACATGAATTTCCCTGATCATCTTTGTTTTGCAAAGCTTTGATGTAGTTGTTGTACAGTAACTGCATATATTACAATTTTGATACATTTTGACATTTTCATACACCCATGAAGCTATCATATAATCAAGGGAGTGAATCAGGAGAGCCGTTACCCTTGAATGTCTGAGTCCCACTGAGCTCTTCTCCTCTCTGCTCCCCACGGTGCTCTCCATCCCCTGGAAGCCACTGACCTGTCATTACAGATTCGTCTGCGTTTTCTAGAATTTTATATAAATGCAGTCATACAAAATGTATTCCATTTTGCCTGGCTTATTTCCTTCAGCATTATAGTTTTGAAATTTACCCATATTTGTATGTATATTAATAGTTCATTTCTCTCTATTCCAGATAGTATTACATTATATGAATATACCAAAATTTGTTTACCTGTTCACTTTTGATAAACATTTGTGTTATGTTCAGCTTGGGGCAATTATAATTAGTATTTTAAGGATGTTCATGTAAAAGTCATTGTAGAGACATAGTGTTTTTATACTTATGGCCACATGCCTTGAGTGGAATGGCTGGACTGTATAGTTGGTGCATGTTTAATTTTCAGATTTTGATGTTTTTTATTCATTGAGTTCAGAATATTTTAAAATTTCTCACAAGACTTTTTTGACTCATGGGTTATTTGGAAATATGTTGTTTAACTTCCAAATATTTGAGAAATTTCAGATATTCCCTTTGATTTCTAGCTTAATGTCACAATGTTTAAAGAATATATGTTGTACAATTTCCTAAATTTGTTTAAGTTTGTTTTATGACACAACACATGGTCTATCTTGATGAACAGTCTATACGTACTTGAGAGGAATGTGTATCTTGCTGTTTTTCCAAGGAGTGCCCTGTAAATGTCAGTTAGGTCAAGATGGTTGGATGTGTTGCTCGTCTCTCCTTTACCCTTACTTATTTTCTGTCGACTTTTATCAATTACTGAAAGATAAGTGTCAAAACATCAGTGAAGATTGTAGGTTTCTCTATTTTTTCTTTATGTATTTTAAAATCCTGTTTTTAGGTAGATACATGTTTAGAATGATTACTTTTTTCTTTTTTCTCTCTTTCTTTTTCCCCAGGGAAGAGTGTGAATGCCGTCCCCCCACTGCCACAAGCGATGCAGTCGATTTTCCCATATTTGGGGAATCTTGGGGGTCAGCACCTCCAGAATGCAGTGGATAGGTCTCACCCTGAGAAAGCCACATTCATGATCATGGTATCTGCCCTGCTGGGTAAGTATAGAATTGCTATGTTTTTCAGAAAGGAGCCAATTCCTTTCTCATTATATGTTTTTCCACTTTATCTCCTCTAGTATTTCTTATTCCTAAGTTTGTTTTTCCTGATATCAATACAGCTTCTTTGGCTTTCTTTTATTAGTATTTGCATGCCATATCTATTTCCATTCTTTTACTTTTAACCTAGCTTTATTCTATATTTTATAGACAACACATAGTTGGGCCCTATTTTGATTTTTATCTAACTGTATAATCTTTGTCTTTTCACTAATGTGTTTAGATAGTTTACATGTAATGTAATTACTGATGTGGTTAGTTTTAAATACACTCTCTTGCTAAACGTTTCCTATTTGTATCATTTCTTCCTTTTCATTGACTGTTTTTCAGGACTCCATGTATCTCCACTTCTGATTCATTATTTCTATCACTTAAAAAACACCCTTGCTACTTTTCCCCCTAGGATTTACAATATACATACTCAACTAATCAGAATTCAAATAATGTTCACTGTTTTACATCTCATTTACGAACCTTGTAATAGTATATTCCCAGTCCCCCCTCCCGCTTGTTGCGCCATTGTTGTCCTCTGTGTGCTTTAAACACACAATACCTTTCTATTTTTTTTTCCGATAGTTCCCTTTCAGAGCAATTAAAAATAAGAAAAAACAAATTTTGTATTTGCCTTCCTTTATCGCTTTTCCATTGTTCTTCCTTTTCTTATGTAGATACAAATGTCTGACTGGTAATTTACATCTTCAACCTGAAAAACTTCCTTTAACATTCCTTGTGTGAGAAAGCCTCTATTTCTTCCTTCCTCTTTGAAAGCTCATTTCTTCAGGTTTAGAGTTCTGAATTGAGAGGGTTTTTTTTAAGGCACTTTAAAGACATTACTGCATTCTCTTTTGGCTTATATGGCTTCTGATGAAAATCTCTGTTATCTTTGTTTCTCTACACTTAATATGGCTCCCCCACTCCCCGCCCAGCTGCCTTCAAGACTTTCTCTTTGTTGTTGTTTTTTGGTAGTTTAAAAGTCCTTTTTCATTTTCTGAACTTCTTGGATCTGTGGCCTGGAGTATGTCATTGATTTTATTAGACTATTTGACATTACTATAAGGCTCCTGGATGCTCTTTTTTAAAAAAATATTTTTCTTTGCGTTTTTGTTTGAGTTGTTTCTATTGACTTGAAGGTCACTGACTTTTTTCAGCTGTGTTAAGTCTACTGCTGAGCACATGGAAGGCATTCTTAATCTCTGATTTTGTTTTTATTTCTTGCTTTTCTCCTTCTTTTACAGTTTTTATCTCTTCATTAAAATTACCCATCTGACCTTGTGTGTTGTTCCTTCTTTCATTACTGCTGTTGACATTTTAATCAGTTGTTATATTTTATTGCTATTTGTTTTCTGTTTGACTCACTCGTTCTTTTCCCGTTTCTTTTTATGGCTTTCTTTTGAAAGTATTTTATATAATTCTATTTTATTTTCTTCATTGTTGTATTAACTACAACTCTTTGCCTTTTTATGTTGGCAGCTACTTTAGGATTTATAATGCACTTAGGTACTTAGCACGGTTAACTGTAGCTAACTTAGCACAGTCTGCCTCCAGGTAACATTGTACTGCTGTACATTTAGTGTACAAACTTTACACTAGTATATTTCCAGTTCTCACCTCCTGGCCTTTATACTGACTGTAGTTATATCTTTCACTTTGACATGTATTATAAATCCCATACTACGGTATTATTATTTTTGCTTTAAATCAGGAATTGGTGAACTAAGGCCTAATAGCCAAACAAGCTTCCCACGCGCTTGGGTAAATAATGGTTCACTGTAACATAGCCATGCCAAGTAATTTCCATACTTCCACCATACAACAGCAGAGCCGAGCCGGTGCCTCAGAGACTGTCAGGCACACAACACCTAAAACAGTTACTCTCTGACCCTTTCAAGAGAAAAAGTTTACCTATCTTTATTAGATGAGCAATTATCTCTTAAAGATGTTCAAATGATAAGAAATAAATAATAAATATCAACCCCACAGTTACCATTTCTGATGTTTTTCATTCCTTTGTGTACATGCATACTTCTTTTTTTTGTTTTTGTTGTTTTTCAAGATTTTATTTATTTGTCTTTAGAGGGGAAGGGAAGGAGAGAGGGAGAGAACATCAATGTATGGTTGCCTCTCATGGGTTCCCTGCTAGGAACTGACCTGCAACCCAGGCATGTGCCCTGACTGGGAATTGAACTGCGATTCTCTGGTTCGCAGGCCTGCGCTCAATCCACTGAGACACACCAGCCAGGGCCTGCATTTGCATACTTCTGTTTGTTATTTTCCTGTATCTGAAAGATTTCTTTTAATATTTCTTGAAGTACAGGTCTGATTGTAATGGATTCTTTTAGCTGCTGTAGTTTTGAAAAAGTCTTTGTTTCATCTTCTTTTAATTTTTTTTTTTTGCTGGTTGTAGAATTCTATGTTCACAGATATTTTTTCACTACTTTAAAGATGTTACTCTACTATCTCCTCATTTGTGTTGTTCTGATGTGGAACAGGCTTTCATCCTTATCTTTGTTTTTCTGTAGATATCATGAATTTTTATGGACTACTTTTAAGCTTTTTTTATCACTGGGTTTGAGCCATTTGATCATGGTACATCTTGGCGTACTTCATGTTTCTTGTGCTTGAGGTTGGTTAAGCTTCTTGAATCTATGGGTTTATAGTTTTCAACCAATTTGCAAGTTTTTCAGCAATTATTTCTAATATTGTTTCTGTCTCTCATTTTTTCCTCCAGTTTTGTTGAAAACTAATTTATATACATTACTGTGTAAGTTTAATAAGCAGCATGATGATTTGATTTATATATATTGTGAAATGATTACCACAGTAGGTTTAGCTAACACCCATTTTCTCATATACCATATTTTGCCATGTATGATGCACATTTTTGTGTGTGTTATATACAGGCTTATTATACCCATGGTATGTAATCATTATACACACATATAATGCACATCCTTATTTTCTCCTAAAAAATGTGGGCAAAATGTGTACATTGTACATGGCAAAATATAGTAGTACAACAAAATAAAAGAAAAAGTAAAGGAAAAAATTTCTTGTGATGAGAATTCTTAACATTTACTTTCTTAACAATGATCCTAGATGTCATACGTGAGTGTTACCTTCTGTCCCACTTTGAAGGCTCCAGTTATGCATATATTGGACACTCAAAGTTGCCTACATCTTGTGAATGTTTTGCTTATTTATTTATATTTTTTCTTTGTATGTTAATTTGGGATAGTTTCTATTGCTATGTCATCCAGTTTACTAATATTTTCTTCTGCAGTGTTTAATCTCACATCAATTCCACCTGTGCATTTTCATCTGTAAGAGATCTTTGCATATCTTTTTTGATTATGCTTAAATATATTCTATATTTGTTCCTAAGATGGTCAATCTTTTCTGTAGGTTTTTTGACCATATGGAGTATAGATGTAATAACTATGTTAAGATCTTTGTTCTCATCATTGCTGTCAGTTCTGACTTGGTTTTGATTGTTTGATTTGTCTTTTTATTCCTGCTGCTTTTCATGCTGATAATTTTTTTATTAGATGCTACAAATTGTGAGTTGTACCTATTAGTGAGATTTTTTTTTTATGTTTGTTTAAGTATTCTAGAGTTTAGTTCTGAAATTTGGTTAACTAACTTGAAAACAGTTTGATCTTTTTGGTTCTTGTTTTTAAGCTCTTAGTATGGTTAAGGGTAGCATTTAGTATAGGGTTATTTTTTTTAATCACAATACTGAGGCAAGACTTTTTGAGTACTTTTGGCTGGCAGAATTCTAAGATGGTCTTGGTGTTTCTGCTTCTTGGTATTAACCCCATGATTATGTTATAATACATGTAAAAAGAGATTTATCAGCTATAATTAATGTTACTAATCAGTTTAATTAAACACCAATCCAAAAGAACCTATGTACCCCAATGTTCATAGCAGCACAATTTACAATAGCCAAGAGTTGGAAGCAACCTAGGTGCCCATCAATAAATGAATGGATCAAACATTTATGGTACATATACACAATGGAATTTTATGCAGTAGAGAGAAAGAAGGAGCTCCTACCCTTTGCAACAGCATGGATGGAAATGGAAAACATTATGCTGAGTGAAATAAGCCAGGCATTGAAAGACAAATACCATATGATCTCACCTTTAATAGGAAGCTAAACAACAAAACAAATAAGCAAGCAACATATAACCAGAGACACTGAAATAGAGAACAGGGGGACAGTGACCAGAGGGGAGAAGGAAGGGAATTTCAGTGGTAAAAGGAGAAGGACTTACAGGAACTAGTATAAAGGACACATGGACAACAACTAAGGGGGGTGGAAATGGGAGGGAGATGGGGAGCCCTGGGGGGTGGGCTGGGATGGGAGTAAAAGACAGAAAACTGTACTTGAACAGCAATTAAGTTAAAAAATTAAATAAAACAAACAAAAAAATAGAGATTATCTAGATGGACCTAGCCCGTATGAAATTTCAAAAGCAGATCCTTTTCTCTGAATGGTTGCAGAAAAGTAGATAAAATATTCTAAGTAAAGGAGAGTTTTGATGCATCATTGGGGGCTTGAGAATGTAGGGGTTCATTTGGAAAGTGTCTGAGAATAGCTTCTAAGAGCTAAGAGCAATCTCTGGCCAACCAGAAAAATGGGAACCTCAGTCTTACAACCACAGGAATCAAATTCTGCTAATAACCAGAATGAACCTGGAAACAGATTCTTCCCCAAACCTCCATGTAAGAAACCAGCCCAAATGACACTTTAATTTTGGCCTTATGAGACCCTAGATAGAGAATCCAGTTAAGCCTGCCTGGATTTGTGACCTACATAGCTGTGAAGCAATAAATGGGTATTGTTTTTAAGTTTCTAAACTGTGGTACATTATTAACAGTGATAGAAAACCAATATGGTAGTCTACCCAATATCCTGCAAATTATGAGGCTTTCCATGCCTGGC